AAAGGGTGGGAAGGAAAGACTAAACAAATTTTCTACTAGTAGAAGTGAAATGTTACGAAAGCCCACAAAAGGTAAGTATCGGTTTTTGCAAACAGTGAGTTATAAAGTATAAAGGCATCACAATAATCACTACTCAAAACATAAATTGAAATCTGAAAATCCTACACGAAAGATACCACTCAAGAGACAGTCAAGCACATACAAAATACTGTTAGTAACAGTATTGTCCATATGGGTGTACATACAATTATTCCTATATATGTATGTATTATGGTCTTCTTTCTAACCTTGTGTTTAGAAACAGCCTAAGAATCCATCAACAGAGGACTGGTTATATAAAGTACAGCATATTCAAACAGTGAAAAACTATGCAGCTATAAAAAGTAAGAAAGTTTTCAAGGCACGGTTATGGAAAAAAATTCCAGTAAGTAAAAAGAGAAAGTTGCAGAGTAGTATATAAAATATGTTACTTTCATATCCAAAGAATTAGGAAAAGGGGAATGAGAATATATATTTGGACTTCCATAACAGAAGTCTGGAGAAATACATTAATAAAAATTGGTTATCCACTGGAAAGAAAGGGAGAGAACAGAGCAGACCAGAGCAAGGAGGGATACTTTGATTTTTTTGAATCTTATAAAATATAATCTATTGAAAAACTAAATTCCTATTTTAAAACTAGAATAAAATCACAAAACCATTTTAATAGAAAAAAGCTCAAAATCAAATTTCACCCCCCACCTTTACAACTATTTTAAAGATAAGGTACCTTAGATTCAAAGAAAAGAATTAAGTAAGAAAGAAACTACAGTATTTAAAGTAAAAATTCTAAATCAAGACTTTAAAAGACAAAATAATTTATAAGTACAAATTACTTATTTGTTATAAAACTATCAAAACTTGGGAGTTCCGGCAAGATGACAGACTAGGCAGAAGGACTGCATAGACCCTCTTCAAGAAAGAAAAGGGAAACCAATTGACACAGATACAGAAGATGATCTTGGACTGCTGAGCGTTGAAGGGAAGGATACAGAAGTAGACTAAACCCCAACTAGCAGAAGAATTTGCATGAAAATACCAAAAAAGGAGACTTACGGAGCTGCAGTCTGGCAAGGACCTGACCGCCCCTGACGGCACAAATGGCTTGGACATTCCTGAGTGGTGGTAGGACCTAAAAATTAACCTAAAAATCACCCTACTAGCCAGAGACTGCACAGACTGTGCACGGTGGCTAGGGAACGAACAGAGAAAGTGAAGAGAAAGGTGGGCTGAGTTGTGGACTTTTGCTGGTCCAGAGGTAGGTTTAAAAAGCGGCTTGACTATTTTGGATATTTAAAGAGACAGTGCTCTTGCAGATTCCTGTGGTGGCAGGACTTAAGAATTAACCTAAACATCACCCTGCTAACCAGGGACTGCACAGATGACTGTACATGGTGGCTACGGAACAAACGGAGAAGGTGAAGAGAAAGGTGGGTTGAGCTGTGAACTTTTGCTGGTCCAGAGGCCGTCGCCATTTTGAAGGTTTAAAAAGCGGCTTGACTATTTTGGATATTTAAAGAAACAACGCTCTCGCAGATTTCTGGGTCTTAAGAACACGTTCTGCTTTCCAGCAACGCCAAGGACACTTAGGGCCTGCAAGGCTGAAAAGGCTAACGATAAAAAAACACCAAGAAGAGCCTGAACCACCCTTGGCTGCTCTTCACAATTAACAGAGATCTAAATACAACAACATCACAATGCCTCGGAAACAACAGAAGATCTTAGTCCACACAAAGAAGCAGGATAAAGTGGTAGAAACGAGGGAGCAGCATACAGACCCAGAACACATTCCTGAGGAAGAAGCAGCATTGGAACTCTCTGATAAGGAATTCAAAAGAATTATCTTTAGGTATCTTCAAAGGATTGAGAGACAGACCAAAGAA